GTCTATTTCTACTTTCAGTTTTTGTGTTATATATTATGAAGCTGTGTTGTTCAGTGGCTACGTATTTTGGACTGCTGTGTCTTCTTGCATACTGACCCTTTCACCATGATGTATGTAATGGCCCCTTTTGTCCTCGGTAGTTTTCTTTGCTCTGACAACTACTTTATCTGATAATGTATAATGTATATCAGATAATGTATATCTGAGTAGCTATATAGCTACTCATACTTCTCTTCTTTTAAGCCGACATCTGCCTCCATCCTTTACTTCTAATTTACCAGACTTTGATGTTCTTGAGCCCTGGCAATGCCAGTTGCTCCTTGGTTTGCAGCCTCATGGTAATCATTGTCCTTTCTACTTTGCAAAGGTGTGGCATCAGTACCCAACCACCTTACCCATTGGCATACTGCACACCTGTGATGGGACTGGGGATTCTTAGGGTGCTTATGGCTCCAGGATGACACCCAGGGTAGAAGCCCACTTCACTCTCCCTCACAGTCTGCCTCATGAATTTTAAACCAGGTGTCCCTGGAATCATAGCTGTCACATCATGTTGGTACAGGGGCTGGGATGAGCCCAAGGACCAAGGCGCTGTGGCGTAAGACAGTCAGCCTCATGGATGACAGTGGTAATGGCAATGCCCAGCCTCTGATGTTTCCCAGGTGGCACTGCCTCTATCCCCTGAGAAGTCATTGTTAATGGCAATGCCCAGCCTCTGATTCTTCCCAGGTGGCACCGCCTCTATCCCCTGAGAAGTCATTGTCCTGTCTGGAGGACCACATGGTCACTCTCCAAGGAAGACATCCATGTGAGGGAGACAGACCTGTCTCTGTGTACTTGTCATGGAAGGTGGAGGTTGGGCGTGGTCTGTGAGTGCTCCTCTCTGTCCTGGGGTCCCTGATGCCTTGGCCTGCAGCTCACTGCCTGCCTTGAGCCCCTCTGAGCCTGGGTGGTGGCATTGAGGGCTCCCAGGCTGTCCAGCCATAGTCAGCAGAAAGACAGATGGTGGGGTTGTCCAGTTGAGGTGCCTAGCTGCCTTTCAGCACAGAATCCAAGTCACCCAAAGATAACCAACTACTCCAGAGCACAAGTGGGTATAAAGACAAAGGAACACCCAGGACACTTAACAGCAAGGTAGGAAAAGCTCATGTAGGGGCAATTGCTTATAATTGAGGGGAAAATGGAAGGAAGGGTGGAAGGAAGGAAGCAAGGAGGGAAGGAAAGAAGGGAGGGAGGGAAGAAAGGAAGGAAGGAAAGAAGGAGGAAAGAAGGGAGGGAGGGGAGAAGAAACAGAAAGAGGGAAGGAAAGACAGAAAAATGGAGGAAAGGCGAAAAGGAAGGAGAGAGGGAAGGAGGGAGGGGAAGAAGGTGAGGAGGATGGACCTGAGCAAAGAGCCAGCAAAGAGCCCCGTCCCCTCCCTGCCCCCAGATCTGGCTGAGCCTGCTTCCGTGAGGTCTCACCCAGAGGGAGCTGGAGCTCCATCCACAGAACCTCACTAATGTCTGACCTGGCCTCATCCTGGGTCTCCTGGGCCTGGCCTTACAAGGCGACTGTAAAATGCACCAATCAGCACTCTATAGCTAACGAGAGGTTTGTAAAATGCTCCAATCAGTGCTCTGTAAAAACACACCAATCAGTGCTCTGTAGCTAGTAAGAGGTTTGTAAAATGCACCAATCAGCACTCTGTAAAATGGACCAATCAGCAGGATCCTAAAAGTAACCAATCGCGGGGAGGATTGAAAAAAGGGCACTCTGATAGGACAGAAACGGAACATGGGTGGGGACAAATAAGGGAATAAAAGCTGGCCACCCCAGCCAGCAGCGGCAACCCGCTTGGGTTCCCTTGCATGCTGTGGAAGCTTTGTTCTTTCCTTCTTCACTCTTTGGGTTGGTGCCACCTTTAAGAGCTGTAACACTCACCGTAAAGGTCGGCAGCTTCATTTTGAAGTCAATGAGACCATGAACCCACTGGAAGGAACCAGCTCTGGACACAGCAGGGTTGGGCCTGATGAGGTGCAGCTCACTCACATGCCTGCATGGCTCATGCCGCAGTCCCTGCAGGCTGCGACGTGCCCTGAGGTTTCCTTGGGTTCAAGCCATCATACTGATTTGCAAATAATAATGGTTGATTGACAAACGATCACACAGTCCTGTGGGACAGTGGCTCGGGCTCTTGGTTGCTCTGTCCACAGAACCCTGTGGCTGTGTGGAAGATGCTGCTTCCTGGACAATCACCTCTAGGCATCCAGCCTTCCCCAGGATACCTGAGGAGAGACAGGAGAAACCTGCCCAGCTGGGGAGACTCAGAGGGGTTGCCCAAGGATTCAAGGGGGCAGCCAATGACCAGACACCTCAGACGACCCCACGCCTCCCCCTTCTAGGAACTGTGTCCATCTGCATCTGCCAGGCTTTCTTTCAATAACAGGTGTGGCTGGGACTGATTCTGCAAAAAAAAAAAAACAAGAAACAAAACCACAGCACTTCCATCACCTTCATGCAAAAGGCCTGGGAGCCCTTCCCTTAAAGGCCACGGCCCTTCCTTTAACTTCAGAGTTGCTTCCTTCCAGAAACTGTGTGGAGCAGTTGGATGTTGGGCTCTAGGGAAGTTAAGGAGACGGAGACACAACTCCTTTTGGCAAGCGGGGATGCTATTTAAGGACTCCCGTTCTCAATTTTTAGCTTAGGAGAAAACACTTTAAAAATAGTCTGCAGCTCCAGTCCCAAACTGGCTCTGTCTGGCTGCTGAAGCCTTTTGATTTTCTCCTCCTCGGATGCTCCTGTCCCTGGGACCTCAGCCTCCAGGATCTGCCCCAGGATGGGCCTGAGCCATGGCCGTTCTGGCAGCTCAGCAAAGGTCGGCCCCATCAATCCATTGTCTGGCTCGTCTCAGAAAATTAACAGCCTCAGTCTTTTAATGGGAACGGTGCCCTCTCCTATGGTCTGCCCACTATGCTCAGAAGGCAGGGTTATGTCTCCCCTCCTCCTGCCATGGGTGAGAGAAGGAGCCCCCTGAGGGCTATGAGTGTGGCCAAGCACAGTACCCTGGCGCCGGACCAAGGGGGGGATGCAGTCTCTCACAGCCAGGGGTACCCTGGCGCCGGACCGAGTGGGGGATGCAGTCTCTCACAGCCAGGGGCAGGGGACACTGAGGCTTGCTGGAATAATTCTGTGGCTACCCAGGGCTGAGCAGGCACCGTGCCCAGTCTCCATGACAAGGGGACCCTATCCACGTGTCAGTCTGGGCTGCTGTACAAACTGCTACTGATGGGATATCTCAAGGACATTCCGTTCTCAGCTCTGCAGGACGGCATCCCCGGTCAGGGTGCTGGGGGGTTCTGTTCTTGGGGAGGGCCCTCGTGCTGGCCACAGTCCCACGTTCCCGCTGAGCCCTCACACAGGGCTGGAGAGAAAGGAAACAGTGTTCTGTCCCATTCCCATCATGGGGCCCCACTCCGTGACCTCACTGAACCCTGACCACCTCCCAAAGGCTCCACCTCCAAATCCCATTACGCTGATTATGCTGGGACCAGGGCTTCAACATAGGAATGGGGGACAGCACCCTGGGAGCAGGGTGAGGGGGCCCCCAGTCTCACAGGTGCCGGGGCACACACAATACTGCACCTTAATTTCAGACCTCGGACCATGGCCATCCTGATGGGGAAGGACTGGTGTAGGCAGGGGCACCGGCCTCCTTGCCTCCCGGGCAGAGCTGGGCAGCCCTATACTCCTTCCCTAGAGGCCGTGTCTCCCCCCACGTTCTCTCTGAATGGCAGGAAAACTCAGAGTTCATGGAAGATGTGTTCAGGGAGGGGTGAAGTGTGGAGAGAGGCTGCAGGTGGAGAAGCCCTTTGGAGAACGAGGTATTCTCAGGGATGGTTTTGTTTGGGTGTCAGGTTCCTGAGAATGTGACCCTCTTGGGATGGGGCCTCACAGGTTCCCAGGAATTACCTGGATTACTGTAGGAAGAATGCTAAAGACACCCATAACCCCACACCCAGCGGCGGGCACTGCAGGTGTGTCGGTGAATCTGTTTCTGTGTGAGCCTCAAGGCTACGTTTGGTTATTCCTTCGCTCACCCCATACCGCATGCCCGCTGCGTGTCAGGAATCATCCTGGGAGCTGTAAATGCAGCGGAGAAAGAAGCCTTGAGGACGCCCCTTCCCTCAAGGAGCCGTCATTCTGGAAGGAGACAGAAGTAGGCTAGTTGAGTAATTCAGGGAGCCATGAAGGTCAGGGAGGGGCAGAGAGTGAGGAGGGAGGGGTGATTTTAAGCAAGGGTGGGAGGCCCCACTGCCAAAGGGGCATGAGACAAACCAGGAGAAATAAACCATCAAGAGGGAACAGCCCGAAGAAGGGCAGGGCCGCTGGTGTTGGCGGCTCCAGAGCTGCATGCCATCTGTGCCACTGAAGGTCCACGTGGTGGCCGGAGCAGGGACTGGGGTCCTGGGCTGGCTTCCTCCTCAGCAGTGGGTGTCAGTCTGTCCCACCTTGGCCCCTCTGCTGCCTCCCAAGATGGTGCTCAGACCTGGAGAGAGAAGTGCCACCTCCCATCCCTGCCCTTCATGGGATGGAAGTCTGGAGTCTGCCCTTCATGGGATGGAAGCCGCCAGTCACTGTGTCCCTGCCGTCGGCCTCCCACCTGCTGTGAGTGGGGATGGGCAGATGGACTCTGGACGAGCAGGAGGAGGGTGAGCTCCATCAGAGGCGGCTGGACTGAGATCCGGAGGAGACCCTGCCACACAGGCCACCCCTTCCTGAACTGGCTGTGTCCTTGGCCAGCCCTCAGCATGGAGAGCGGGGACACAGGTGTGGGAGCTGACATGGGTAACTGGTCATCACATGTGGTCCCAATGCTGGATGTCCGTCTTTGTTCTGTGAGGGTAATGCACCAACTCCACCCCTACCCACGCCTGGGAATAGAGTGGAGGAGTGTGGACTTGTGAACGGCAGAGAGCTGTTCTCGGGAGCTGGGGGCTTTCTTAGGATCTGTGGACGAGGCTGCCGCTGCAGGAGCCGGGGACGAAGGTACGAGATCGTGTTCATGGGTGGGAAAGTGATTTTGCCAAGTCAGGTTTTCCTTGGCCTCTGCTGCGTTCGAGGTCTGCTCTAGTGGAGCACAGGATTGGGTAGCACAGAGGGTAGGAGGGAACCAAGGAGATAGTCTCAGTGGTACTGTAAGGCCAGGCGTCTGGAGTGCGGGTTGAGGAGCCTGGGTGTAGGCTGGGTTCCAGGCTTCCTTGGTGTGGTGTTTTCCTGGAGCAAACATGGATGTGGTGTGTGTGGTTCGTGTGTCCAGTCTCCTTGCTGAGGGCCTCCCTGGCCTGTTGATTTGCTCTGGGTGTCTGTGGGGACCTCAAGGGAAGAAAACCCATGGTGGGTTTCCTGGCGTACCTATGGCATGGTGTCTGCCTTTGTGCACATGAGTCACGCATTAGTCCATCTGTGGACACCCTCCTTGATGCAGAGGGTCCTCAGCGCTCACGCCGCCGGAGCAGGTCCAAGGAGGGTGGAGACCCCATACTTCAGGCCCGGCGAGCAGAAAGGCACGAGGACCCATTTCCTGTGGGCCAGGGAGGCAGGCCCAGGCTTGGACGAGCCAGGCGCACTCTCCCCAGCCTGGAGTACGGGGCCCTGCGGGCTGCTGGCACCCACCATGACCGGGCCCTGTGCCTCCCATTCCTAGCAGCCAGGGCTGGGGACGCTCCTCTGGCGGCAGAAACCTCTTGCAGGGCGTCACAGGTCTTCTACTTGGGGACCCGCCATGGCATTGCCCTCTTCCCGCATAGGGGACTGTGTGTTGTGATGGATCAGGAGAACAAGGAGTGACTTGGAGATCCGGGGTAAGCCAGGAGCAAGCTTTTACTTGGAGTGCATCAGACACGGACTTAGAATGCCGGAAACACTGGGCCGTGAGAACAAAGACCGCACTTGCTCTTTATACACACGTGTCAAGAAAGGCGTGGGGGCTAGCTTGAACAGGCTTACATACAGTGGATGAAAAGCAAGGATACGAGAGGTCAGAACCTTTAATAAA